AAGTGCAAGACACAGTAGCATTAAAAGTCCTAAAATTATCAACAAGAGATTGTCTCATTGTATCGAATAAAATATATACTTTGACTTTCTTGTGTTAAAACTTTGGCTCGTAAACACAAAAGTACTGTGCGCATTCTAAAAGTATTAATATTTAATTAATATTTATTATAATATAATATAAATTTTAATTTTTAGAAATTTTTTAACTTATAAAATAAAATACAACTTTCTTCGAACGAGGCATCATCTGCAAAAGAAAGAGGCAATTCGGCAGTAGCTAGAAATTTAGCTAGTGCCTCACAAGCACGTTGTGCATCGTATGCAAAATTTTGTAACCCCTGTGATGTGAGTGATAGTGTTTGTTGGCGGGAGTCCACACTCCCACCTTGGTGCAATGGTAGACATACTTTCCAATGTCTATCCAGATGACCAGTACCCCCACCCTTTTTATTAGAAAAGTGATTTTTACAATATTTACATACCGCACAAATTTCCATCTCACCTGTTTTTGGATTTGGTTGGGGCTCCTCGGTGAAATGCTGCCATGCCAGAGAAGTTCGCGGTCTTTTTCCTCTGCTGCGTTCTCTAGCTTCCTCGTTGTGTACTGAAGCATTATCCACCGGAGCATTTTCTGGTTCAGTGGGGGTGGGGTTGGGAGGCATCATTTCATCCTCATAAAATGGCTCATCACCAAGCTCAGGAAGAGTAATGAAATCAGGGAAGTTTGGAGCGGCCATTTCTGGAAATTGATAGAACTTGATTGAACTTTGTAAATGAAAGAGCTAGAAATGAATGAACGCGAGAGAAAAGCTTAGAATCAAAATCAAAGAGACAAGTTGAGAGATAGAATGAGAGTGAGATGAGAAGTTGAGAGTGAATTATTGTGTGAGATTTATGGTGGAATTAAGGGGTATTTATAGGGGATTTTGGGGGTGAATTTCCGGATTTTAGGATTTTTAGCTGTTGGGCCCTTGAGGCCCGTCACGTGCCAAACAGGAGGCACGTGACGGGCCAAACGGGAGGCCCGTCACGTGCCTCCCGTTTGGGCCGCGAAGGGCCCCTGGACCAAATGAAATGGGCCGTTTCGCGGGCTTGGGCCAGGCCAAACAAGGGCCGAATCAGGGCTTGGGCCGGGCCGAACAAGGGCCGTGCCGCGGGCCTCCACGTGTTTGGGCCGCGGGGCTGAGAAGCTGAGGCCCAGCCCTAGCCCATTACACGTGCCGTGCAGGCACGGCCCGTAACAGTAGCGAACCGGGCCGTGCCGAATCCGACACTATTACTGGCTGGGCTGGGCTGTCCATGGACGGCCCGGCCCATTTGACACCTCTACCGATCCTGAGACCTAGAGACCAAGAGCCACTTGTTTAAGCATCTCATGCCTCATTCTGTCTGCCCTTTTTCTTTTAGTTCCCTGCATGAGGATGAGAGCAATTCCTGTTGTCTTCATTGAGATTGATTATATGCTGAGGTGAAAGAAGATCCTCTAGGCTCTTAGGTGTGTTGGTGAGGGTAATCAAACCAAATAAAATCAACTTTTGCTGAAGTCTTTTTGCTTGTTTCTTTTGTGTCCACTTTTATCAAGAAAGAACCAATTGTAAAGCGCTTGCCAGTTAGACTTGGCAAATATTCATGGTTTTATGATTCTTAAAACCGTATTATTACCAATAAAAGGAACTATGAAAAGGCCAATCCTGTTTTAAATCTTTATTCTCTCCTGAGAACCGCATGCATTACAGTAGGGTATCTAAGCTATAGTTAGGTCTGATTATATTAATTAACCTTTTTCTACATGACAAGGCAGATTTAATATTCTTTTTCAAAAAGCTCAGGATGGGCTTTGAGATTCTGTCACTGAGTGGGGAAATTATTATCTTATTTTTCATTACCATGAAGGGCAGTGTCATACACCAAAGAATCTTCTCCTAGTCAAGCACAAATGTGGACTGAAATGATCTAAAAAAAAAAAACAACTGATGAAAGAAATGGTATTAGCTGTTTGATTATTCCTGTTTCTATAGAATTCGACAAAAAAAGTTACCCAACTGTTTATTTTCAACCATTAATTTGTATAACCATTTATGTACATGTCTTACATAACCCGTATACCAAAGAATATTCTTCTTGGTCAAGCACAAATGTGAACTGAAATGGCCTTAGAGACAATTTCTCTAAGAACCCCAAAAGCCTCTTCTAAGCTCAAGTGAAATTTAATGTTCAACTTTGAATTACCAACAATTACAAAAAGAACCCTTTAGGTTGTCATTTAATTTTGAATTCCTCCACTGAAACACCTTCTAGTGCCATAGAATTAGGCAAGATGCAAAGTTTAATAATTTTCTTCACAACTATTCCAAATCGTACCAGAAGGCAATTATGAAGTCCAATCTTAACCAGACCTCGAATCAGGGGTGGAACTTTCATATGAGATTGACCATCTAAAAGGAGAATTAAACGTTATAGCTCACTTAAGCTTAGAGAAGAATTTCATAATTTTTGCTGATTATCACTATTTTTGTCGCGCTCAATGAACACAAATAACACGATCGTTCACCTTTAACCGATAGCATTTGTAATCATTTATGTAGGAGGTACAACAAAACACATATGGGATCCACATTGGCACGCAGTCGTGAATAGCGACGCTTGGCTGTAGCATTTTCCATGGAATTAAGGACCACAAAATCACAGAAACACTGAGTCATGTTATT